AATAACTAAAATCAGATGATTAAAATAATAAAATAGAGAGGTGATTAAAATAGTAGTTGCTCTATTAGTATAGTACATAACTAATTATATGATTATATAATTATATAATAATTACATGAATATTATGATCAATCATATAATTATATAATTGATTAATTATGTCACATAATTTTTTGAGATTATTCCTGGAATAGGATGTTCCATTTAGATTATTCTATAATAATATTAATATATTTTCTAATTATTAAATAGAATATATAAATAAATAAAAAAAATTTATATGAAAAGAATATTATTAAAATATTAATAATTAATATAAATATTCAGAATTTATTATGCCAGATAAGATATTTTATTTTTATTACTAATATATACAAAAATTTTATATATATATTATTAAATATTATTATTAACTATTTACAAAAATTTAATAGTTAATTTTTTTCTTCTATTTTTAATTATTATTATTAATATATAATTTTTTATATTTCTTATTAATTAAAGAAAAGATTCTTTATTCAAATCTATTTATTTTATTTATGTTATTATTTAAAATTTTATTATTAAAAACTTTTTTTAATTTATTATAAATTTATCTCTTTTTTATTTTTCTCTTAAATAGTATTTACAAATTCTTAATAAAATTATTATTTAATAAGCATAAAGACTAATTAAGAATTTAAATATTATAATAATAAAAAAGATTAATTATTTTATTTGTATTATAAATTAAAGAATATCTTATTAAAAATATAATTTATAATTTATTATAAAAATATAAAGAAAAAGATGAGTTTCAAGAATTTCTTGATATTATTTAATATTGAAGTTTTAGTAAATAAGACAAGTATAATTGATTCTTATATATTAAAAGTACTTTAATATGAATTTTATAGAAATACTTTATTATATTTTTATATAATTATGATATTCTATAATAATATCTTATTAATCAAGTATTTTTAAATATTTAAAGAATTATTTTATTAAAGAAAATTATATATGACTAATTTTGATAGATATATTTTTATATTTATTTAAGATAAGCTATAATATAATAAGATTATAAAAGAAAGATTTATTATAAAATAACAAATATCAAATTGAAGATTTTTTTTATAATATATTGAATTATACAAATAGAAATTTTCAAGTTAAAATCTTTTTGTTTAAGTCTTTAAATTAAAATAATACTTGATAATTTTTTAATATAATTAATTATATCATATATTATAGACTTAAAATAATCTGTTGTTTGTATAATTTCTGAAGATTTCTAAATATTATTTATCTAAAGCTGACTTATTATTATTCTTTGTGCTTTATACTTGAAAATAAATAGTATTTTTTTATTTTTTTGCTAATGGATGCAAAAGCTGATGGTAAAAATATTTATATTAGTATATTTATTATTAAATATGTATTAATTTAAAATTAGTAATATTATATAACATTTTTATATCAGATTAATATTCTGAATATTTATATTGATCACTATACTAAGTTATAAAGAAATAAATATTATATTTATATTTTTTAATATAATAAAAAACTATGAGATACTAAAGGAAAAAGAATAAATAAACAAAGAAATAAAAGATAAAAATAATAAATATGAAGGAAAAATAAAGAAATAGAGAAATAAAGAAATAAATTTGATAAATATGAATTTTAACAAGAAAATAGCAAAAAAGAATAATATTGAAGTTATTATATTTATGAAGCTATGTTATGGCACTTTTAATAGTATCATTACAAATAAAAATTATAAAAGAAGCATTAAAATCATAAATATAACTAGAAAACTAAAGAAATCATAAAAATAAAATAAAATATTTCCAACTTGCTTTTACATGATAAGAGACTACTTGTATATATACATATGCCAAAAGATGTCAAAAAGATAATTTAATATGATAAAGGTATCAAAGAGATGTCAAAAGAGTGTTAAAAGGGAATAATTTAGAAAATAAAATAGAACACATGTAAAATTTATAAGATTATTGACTAGACCAGCAATCATTTTGAAACTGATAATCATGACAAATAAAATTTACACGGCGCCATAACGATAAATAGATTCACGAATTAGCGTTGGGCATTAGTCCAAGAATTATAATATTTTTTTTGTATCTGATAATTACTAAAGGGATCATGAATTCACATATCCCAATATTGCTAAAGTAACAATATTGAGGTCAGATGCTCAATCGTTGGTCGTGAATTAATTAATTATTTGCAGAAGTTTCGGATGCCAATTATTATTATAATTACGAAATTTCACAATGTTCTGGAGCGTAAATTAATTACTACATGTAACATTATGTAAATGATGATCGAATAAGGTAGCAATATTCTCTCTTTAACGAAATTTAAAGGAAAAATTAAGGAATTACGCAATTTAATGTTCCTAAATAACTGTATAATGTTACCTCGTATATTAATAGAACAGATGGCTACACAATTCATGATTTTATGATTGATATCGGCTACTCTGTCTTTAGCTTGGTGTAACTATTGTCTGTTCATCGCAGCACGGTGACTTAATTGAGAGTCAAAATATACCTTATGACGCGTTATTCACATCCTTTAAAAATAGCCCATCAGTTTCGCGATAACGTTCATACGTGTTCCGAAATAATGTGGCATCCATATAGCCGTGGATTTATGCCATGTGTACAAATTTTATTTTTTTATTGCAGAAATATAACTAATCCGATTAGATTATAGCTTGGTTTTCGTTGCAAATTCGTTATATAGTGCAAAATTTGAACAATAAAAGTTGTTATTCAAAGACATGCTATGCATAAATAAAAACGTGAATATAATATATCGAAAGAAACAGTTGAATATGATTTTCATGTAATCCATTAAGACATTGGATGCAATGTTATTTAGAAAGAAACAAGAGTTCACTTTTTTTATAGTGGATGTTTCATGGTTCAGACAATTCAGGAAAATCGAAAAGTCACCACTTTATTCGAAATAACGCGCAGGTGGGCGAGTGTACGGTACCAGTCCTTATGTTTGTGACATATAGTTTATCGACACAGTTTACTTACTGGTGTTCTAAGCTTTCATCTTTGAATTCATTCTGATATGGGTTGTTATTTATTCATTATGCAGCCAAGAATTTGATTATGTTAGTCATTCATTTTATATTCTTATTTTATACACATAATATAAATTACCAGAATTTGGAACCGGTTTTATTTTTTAATAAATATACCGGTTCCCAAACTCTATTCCGATCTGAATATCGAGGTGCGATTGTATAAATAATATATCTCTAAATAAAAGCGCCTAGTAATTGCGAGCTTATTTTCCCGGGTTATAGTTTATATCATGCCACACTTAACTCCGATCGACAACAATCTCATCCATGGGGAATTTCTGCGGTTCAGCAAAGTGAGTTTCCCTGAATTCCTTAATTTTTTCGTCTTTCAGTTTAGTTGTATCTTCTACTTTGATTACGGGTCGCTTGACAATCTTATTGGATTTTAGAGCTGTGTAAACAATATATGAAGGCTCTTTGGGCTGCAAATCTTCAAACCTATCCAATCTGTTGTAAAATTGCAATTTAATAATCAAGTTTATGAATTATGGTGATACGGCATAGGAGCGTTATTCATGCATACCTCGACGGGTTATATGAATATTCCAAGTCTACGATGAACTCTGCCAGTCGTATGATCCACACGGTGTTTGCATTCTTATATGTTTCTTCATAGGCATTATTCATGAGCGCAACTATCGAAAAGGAATGTTAAAAATTGTTATAAACAAAAGAAAATTATTAGCCACATACTCAAAATATTCAAGGTTACTATTGTTGTGCTGAATGAGAAGGCCATCACGAGAAAATCCAGCAGATGATTGCTCGTCCATGGAAGTAGTGAAGTATAGTCATTCAGAAGCATTAACCAAACATTTTTGAAGGATTGAGCAAAGCTAGTAAATGTATTTTTTCCGTTATCAGGCAGGGTTTCCGATAAGAGAACCATAAACGAATGAGCAAAGGCAAATAGCACAAATATTAAAAATAAAAGTAGCCATTTAATCTTCGTGAGGATCGTTTGGATAACTTCATATAAAAAACGATTAGTTGCTCTGTCGTCCCTTTAGTTAAAACCGAGTTATAAGAACTCCTTACCTGAGAGGAAAATACCGACACCCTTAATCAAACGAAGTTGTAAAACGAGAAAGATCCACATAAATAAGATAGAGAGAGATTTGAGTTCTGGAGATGCAGTATGATTGCGATACTCCAAGGATACAGTAGCAACGGGAAGGAATGATGCTGCTAATCCGACAAATGTATCCCATGTTTTGAAAAAATAGACACGTAATGGCATTTCATCTTTTGAATAACTTAAAAATTTAATCAACTTAACGATTGCCCTGATCCCAATAGACAATATCGTAAATGATCCAAAGAACAAGCTTGAAATCATTAAGCTCTCATTTCTAGTATCGGTGTTGTTCGTGTTACTAATTACCGCAACAAAAAGGCTAAAATGGATAATATAGTAAACAAGTATCGCAGAATGCATATCGGAGTAAACGCGCAGTTTTTGCATAACAATGGCCTCGAAGACCGGAGATTGAAAAGCCTCAATGGAATGGAGATAAGCTAGCTTGTCAAAGGGGCTACAGCCATTTTTTCTTGTAAATAGGCCGGGCAACGGTATATAACATTTCGTGGTTAAATATGAGTTTTTGTTTCTTTTTACATCGTAAGTTTTTATTTTTGTATTATCTAGTAGTGACCGACGCTTGATGATGCTTGTATCTAAACAATCCGTCAATCCCGGTGGAGACTCGATGTAGTGGCATTTTTTCAAAAAATACGATAATATTTTTGGATACTGAACGGCAAGCAGCGGAAGAGCCTCAACAACAATAAGCATAGATTCTGGATCATAGTTTTGAATGCAATTATCAATTATTGACTGTACTCTAGTGGCTTTACGATTTTTAATTGCTTCTATCAAATTGTTTTTATCATTTGCCTCTATTATATGTACATCACTCATATTGATAATATTTAATTCATAGAAAAAAAGAAAAGAGCTGAAAGTTTAAATAATATGCCGAAGGATCAAAAAAAGCGACGCTGTATATATATGTACAGCGAAATTTCTCCGTTCCAGTAAAGGAATTAGCGTTGAGTACCTTTCTGAGATAAGTACATGTAATTATATATAGTATACATTTATTTAAAGCTGATAAATATTATTATACACGTAATAAAAATCTACATGTATTTCTATCTTGTCTCGTTCTATTACATGTACGCCCTATTTTTTGAGGACAACTCTGAAATGTTGTCCATATTTTTTTTATCCTATAAACGCAAGCAAACTTCAATAGAACAATAACATTTTACAATGCACAAACTGAGTTTTACATGCAAATTGAGTTTCAATTTTCAAGATAATGTTTGTCATTTAAACGTCACTATGCATTGTTTGTTTGCCAAAATAAGAATTGCCAATTAAATGAATCACATGGTTAGTAGCATCAAAAATTATGATGAGTTGTGCTTGAATGATATAATACGCACTCCTTCTCATTATTTATGACGACGACTGTACATAAGCTTTCCATCAAAAGGAGGCAATTCGTACAAATCTTCCCCAAGTAATAACATACTCGTATAAACTCTTCGTAAAGTGTGACATATTGTTAGGTTCTTCGCGCCAGAAAAGACATCATATTGTGACATTAGTAGTGGTATTATTATTTTCCAACAAAATATCTTCATAATTTGATTGCTTTTAATGTCATACAAAGGTTTATTTTTCATCAGTATTTTTAGCTTTGTTGTGATTATTGTTTTCGGAATCTCATCGACTCGAAAAACTGCCTCAGGATGTTCTTTTTTTACTCGTTAATTCAATAAATGTTTTATCATCATGATGATGATGATGTCATTTTTTATTGCTATACAAAATAAAATGATATTTACTTTTGTTAAATTTCAAAGAAAGTTTCCACATATCGTTAAAATAAGTTTCGCTACTTCTGATAAATTGTTGTGTCTCGACTGATCGTATTCGCATTTACGACGTTAAATTTCAACGTTATTATCATTACATTGATAAAAATGAGATTTTTTCAAAGATGCATATATTTCTTTCGATATAAGCTAAGTTGAATCGGAAGATTATGAAGGTGAAAATGACAAGTCAAATTCAATGAGAATATTATTACTACTGCTGCTATTAATAGGTGATAATAAATACTCTAATGAAGAGGAGGAGGAGGAAGTGTTTTTCATTCAAACCTTTTTTGAAGATTTTATACATCATCGATTAAAAACAAGAAAGTTATATACAAGATGGCACAATAGAAATAAATTATACTTTAATGTTATTTCTGAGATAATATTATACATACAGTATGGGTTTGTTTAATAATGCATGAATACATTGCTGATACGAATTACACACTTCTTTAAAAAAAAAGCATCTTCAATTTAAGATTGCATTATACATCCGCAAGCCTCCAAATGATACCGGCCTATAGTATGCATTTAGAGACTAAGTCCAAGATGGCCACGATTATGTCAATTAACAGGAGTTATGCATCTAGAGATTATTCAATATTTATATATTTCATGATTATCAATGAAATGTAATGCAAATGCAATTTTCTACACAGGAGCCAAGAAAATTTATGACTCCAGCTCTTTAACGACGACGATTAAGATCTATACCCGATTATTTTATTACTGTCTTATGTATATAAAATCTTTTTTACCGCTAATTAATACACCATTAGCCATTCAAATAGCTTTAATATCGCTTTGATCTCTCAAGGTATTGAGCCTATAACCTCCTCAAAAACAACACCTTAAATTTAGATCATGCTTCCTTTAGAGTATCTCATAATCTTTGGGAAGCTTTTGCAGACACCTCTATGAAGTTAGGGTCGCTAATCTTGACTTTCTCTATTTGAACCTATTTTGTGACTTTTTTCTCAGTGTTATTTTGCTGAATCATCATGTTTTTTCAAATTAATGATTATGAAAAGGGACAAAATTACCTTTAAAATCTTCAGATAAGATGTGCACAGATTGTTATTGCGAATATCGTGAAATAACTTTTTGATTTCTTTTAAATGTGCATTTTTTGATTGTTAAAATCCTATAGTCTCCCAGACTGGTAAATTTTTGTTTTTCCTATTTCTTTTGTATTGATATTTCATTTTTAAAAAAATCGAGCATTACTTTTTGCAGGGATAGGTCAGTTCGGTTCGGTTCCACCATCTCTAACTTTTTGTGGCGGCTGTATAGTCAATCCCTCGTTACATGTAACATGACATCCGTTAATATGACCTAAACGAAAAATTTAGTTTCCTATATAAAATATATAAAATAGTTAATTAGCACTTGAAGAAATTTGTTTCCAGGAAATCTTGCTTTAAGAAATAAATTGACTCCTTAATACATGTAGTTGGATTTTATCATGTACAGTCGACGCTTGATTTACCGATTACCGGTTTAACAGAATTGCGAATCAACGATCCTTTCTCTCAGGTCACCATATTAGAACTGTGCTTAATTTACCGATAACTATTAGTATTCCCTCGGTTTTACGGCTTAAAGCGGTCCTGAAATATCATTACCGATCATTCGGTAAATAAGAGTTGACTGTACATGTATAATGAGGACTGTGTATAACACATAGTGTTACCGTAACATTAAATTGCGTAATTCCTTAATTTTTCGTTAACGTTAAGAGACTATTTTTGGAACAATAAATAGTTAGCGTTCTCTTACCGTTATTAATCCCAGAAAAATTACGATATGGATCTGTACTGTACATGTATTCACACACACGAGTTTGTCACACATAGAATTGAATCGTACATGTACATAAATCCCATAACAGTATAACAACAACGATTATCGTTTGTTTCACTTTTATTCCACTGAGCTCGAAGATGGAATCAAATACTTATGATGAGAAAAAAGCATTTGAGTGGTGCTTGAAATCAGCAGAGGGTGGCGATGCATCAGGGCGATGTAGTATTGGTTGGTGTTATCGAAATGGAATCGGAACACAAAAAGATGAGAAAAAATCATTTGAATGGTACTTGAAATCAGCAGAGGGTGGCGACGTAATAGGACAACAACTCCTTGGTTGGTGTTAACGAAATGGAATCGGAACACAAAAGATGAGAGAAAAGCATTTGAGTGGTATTTGGAGTCCGGAATAACGCAAAAATCAATTACAAATGAATATTTTATAGTGATGGAATCGCATAATTGTATTGACAAAAACAATAAAAACCATCACATGTATTCCTTCATGAAAAGCAATATGAATTTTGATAAGGGCTGAGATAATAAATGTATGTAAACACATGAAGTTGTAACCACTTTTGCTGTAAAGTCAGCTAAGTTAATATCTAAACCTATGTTTTTCTTGCAAGTTTACTCAGCATATCTTGATTCATCAATTTCATATGGTATACTAATATCAAAATCTATTTTTTATCAGCAAAGAAAAAATAATGAAATTAATGAATTATGACAATCATATCAAATGTAATGTGATTTTACCTTCGTTTGGAACATACAAACTGACTTTTGTAGAACCTAAATATTAGAATATAATTTTTATATCGATATAAATATGTATAATAATTATTTCTATTATACGTACCAGTATCATTTGGGATTGAAATTAATTTCGAAGTAAATATTCGACTGATGTAAATTGCATTTGAGTGAATTTGGTTTTTTTTGTTTATATTCGTAGGAATGCTTTTTTGGAATTTCATCTCCTTGTGAAGTTCTATCAAATTTTGTCTCTCTA